TTTTTTTTTTTTGAGCCGGCCGAGAGCTTTTTTGGGCGGGAATCCAAAGTCGCTGTGCTTTGGCCGCGGACCTGTTCTTCTCAGCCCCGCCTTCCATCCACCACCCCTAGAGGACATCGACATGGCCAGCTTCGCCGACGAGCTTCTGGCCGACTTTGGCTCGGACGAAGAGCAGGAGATCCAAGCCCAGCCCAGTGATGATGCGCAGGCGACGACGCATCAAAATGGCACCAAGCGAACCCATCCCGAAGATGACGGTGATGGGAAGGGGGCACAGGACAGCAGCAGTAAACGCGTGCATATCGACGATGCTGATCTGGACGACCTCGAGGATGGCAGCGACGATGAAGACGATCCTATGAACAAAGGCGAGGGCTCGAGCTCGAATGGTTCGGCGACCACAGGAGGCGTCACACTTGGACGCAATGCAGTGCAGCCTGCTGCCGAGCGCGACCAGGCCGAGGTGGACGAGCTCGACCTTTCCAAAACCACGAGCATTCGCAGCGTCGCCTCGCTTCTGCGCAGTGGTAGCAAGGTCTATGGCGTGCTCAAGCAGATCGACCACTTCATGTCGCTGCCCGAGCCCGACCTTGCTGGCGTGCTGGAAGACTCGCCCGAATACCACCTCATCGTCACCGCGAACAACATCGCAGTCGACGTGGACAACGAGGTGATGTTGGTGCACAAGTTCATCCGCGACCACTACTCGCCTCGCTTCCCGGAGCTCGAGACGCTCATCCCGGCCCCCCACGACTACATCCAGGCGGTGCAGGCCATCGGCAACGACGACGAAATCAGCAGCGCCAAGCTCGAGGGCGTGCTCCCGCACGGTACGGTGGTAGTCATCAGCATGACTGCATCCACGACATCGGGGCGTCCTCTGCCTTCAGAGGAGTGGAAAGCGGTGCAAGAGGCGCTCGAGATGGTGTTGGAGCTCGAATCGGTGCGCAGCCGCATTCTGGCGTACGTCGAGTCGCGCATGTCGTTTGTTGCACCCAACCTGTCTGCGGTCGTCGGCACGCGCACGGCGACCAAGCTGCTCGGCGCAGCCGGCGGACTTGAGGGGCTCAGCAAGATCCCGGCGTGCAATCTGCACCTGCTCGGTGCGGCCAAGAAGAACTCGATTGGTCTCTCGACCGCGCATGGCGGCTCGTTGCGCTCGTCCGGCTTCATCACGCAGAGCGAGCTGGTAGCCACCACACCGGACGACTACAAGCGCCAAGCCGTGCGCATGGTGTCTGCAAAGGCGCTGCTCGCAGCGCGCATGGATGCGGGCAAGACCACCTCGCGCGACGGATCGTACGGCCGCAAGCTGCACGCCGAGCTCGTGCGCAAGATCGAAAAGCTTCTCGAACCGCCTCCGCAGAAACTCGACAAGGTGCTGCCCGTGCCCAAGGAGGGTGGGGGCAAGAAGCGGCGTGGTGGAGCCAAGGTGCGCCGGGCCAAGGAGAGGAACGGCATGACGGAGCTGCGCAAGATGCAGAACCGCATGGAGTTCGGCAAGCAGGAGGAGGAGGCGTTTGGATACGACGAGTCCGTGGGGCTGGGCATGATCAACTCGTCGGCGTCGGGCAAGGTGCGCGCACAGACCGCAGAGGACCGGTCCAAGGCACGGATGAGCAAGGCGAATAAGAGTCGCATCGCTGCGCTTAGGGGTGCGGCGGGGGGAACCCAGTCCGTACTCGGTAGGGGTGGGGCGGATGGAACGGCATCGTCGCTGGCCTTCACGCCCGTGCAGGGAATCGAGCTCGTCGATCCGAGTAGGAGAAAGGCACAGGAGAACGAAAAGTGGTTCAAGCAGGGCCAATTCTCACTGCTTCCCGGCGCAAAGTCGTCGCTGCCAGGCTCAATGCCACCCCCACCCAAACCATCAAAGTAATCGTCCCCACATGTCACACCCTGCATTTGTATTTGTACCGCTCGCAATCGCATCGTGCACCAGCCATTGCAAGTCCTGATCCATTTTGATACGAAGCTACATTCGAGACGTGCTGTGGAGCTAGAGCTTGCTCTTTGGCTGTTCGCTCGCGAGGCGGATGACCACCTTGCCACCGGACCTCTTATCTGCCTGAGCCAGAAGTTCGAAGCCCTGATCCGCCTGTTCCAAGCCGTCCAGCACGGTATCCACAACGGGCACGATTCTGTGCTGCTCGACAAAGCGGATGCTCTGTTCGAACTCCTTTGCGCTGCCCATGGTGCTTCCGAGCACCTCGATGTTCTTGAGCACCTCCTTCATCGTATACGTCAACTTGGGCGCCGCCGTCATGCCAAAGATCACCACGCGTCCGCCCGCTTTCAGCCCAGCCTTCTGCGCCTGTGCGGCGATTTCGCCGCCGGCACTGTCGACGACGCAGTCCAGATACGGCCGCGCGCGAGGCAGGAGCTTACGGATCTTGCCCGGCCAGTTCGTGTCCTTGTACTCCGTACCTGCCTTGGCACCGAGCTTCACTGCACGCGCAATCTTGTCCGCCGACCCGCCGGTGACGTACACGTTGGCACCGGCTGCAACCGCCATTTGAAGCGCCAGCATCGCTACGCCACCACCAACGCCCGTCAGAAGCACGTTCTGGCCCTTGCTCACCTGCGCCTTGGTGAAAAGCGCCCTACCAAGCATCCAGTCAAAACAAAGGCTCGAAAAAGTCAGCATGATGCTCAACAGAGAAGATGAACGCGGAACTTACCTGTAGGCAGTGACGGAGGCGCAGGGGAGTGTGGCGGCCTGTTCGGCAGTAAGGTGCTTGGGCGCTGCTACGATCTGGTCCTTCTCGACAGCGACGTACTCGGCGAAAGTGCCGACGCCGTTAGTTGGCGCCGTAGCACCCAAGATACCGAAGCCCTTGCCGCCAAGCCCGTTGGACCTCTCTTCGTCGCTGAGACCGGGCAGTTCGGCTTCCGGTCCGTCCTTGTCCGAATCCCAGCCACGGGTGGGGGTCAGCAAGACCAGGCCATCCGGGTGTTGGTTGGGCACGCTAAATCCTTGGGGTGCAACGACAGTGCCTGCTCCATCGCAGCCCATGGTGGCGTTGCCGTACACGAGACCCGGGTAGGCGCCGACCATGGACCACTCGTCCCTGCGGTTGAAGCCGGCGGCGTGGATCTTGACGAGCACCTGGTCGGACTTGGGCTTGGGCGTGGCGACCTCGCGCACAAGCGCCACGTTGCGCTGGCCCTTCTTGGCTTCGCCGGCGGGCCGCTCGAGCTGCAGCGCCTTCATTGTGGGCTTGACGCCCGCGGGTAGCGACATGGCGGGAGTCGAGTCAGCAGGTGGTGCAGTGGAGGTGGAGGTGGCGGAGGCGTTGGGGCTGTCGAGCGCGTCAA